AGATTGTTGGGGGCAATATGCTGACTCTCTGTAAACCGCTTAGAGAGACCTGAAGGCCTATGAAGCGGTATATAAGTCTACTGCTATTGCTATTATATTATAGGGTAAATATGAATGGGGAGGCTTTCTATTTATATTGTGTATTTCCCCATAATTCGTCACAGTACCACAAACAGATTTAAAAGAAGGGAGGGCTAGTGGAATCATTCTATAAATAGTAAACAGACATACTGTATGTCTGTCAGCCTTCAAAACACATGCAAAAACATGGAAGTCAACATTTTTTAAGAATCTGAACATTTATAAGGCCAGCTTAAAATCAGAACTTAGAAAAAAGACATTGTTTGTGGATACAAACAAGACATTTAAAGCAACTGTACACTTATAACAAACTATTGACTTGTTGGTATAAGAAGTAAGCAAGCAAACAAACTCACAGGTGCTCTTTATTTACCGTAGCTCTTAGATCTTTTTTTCTTCCACCCCCCTTTAGTGGTGGTCTCCTCTATATCTTCCATTCCTATCCTCTGTCTAGTGGGCCATTGTGTCAAGGAATGCATGTTCAGAGTCAAAGAAAAGAGTAGTGCCTTGTTTGGACAGGGCCAATCATGTATCCAGAATAAGCAAGAGATTAGGGATCATAGAGCCAACTGATAACATAGGGTCTATTAAAGCTTGTGGGGTACCCCAAGGTTCTGTCTTAGACCCAGTATTTTTCAGCAGTTTTAACTTCATTAACTGCTTAGCTAATGGGATAGAGGGGGAACTCATTAAATTTGCAGATGATACCAAGCTGGAACGAATATTTTGAAGATAGGCTCAAGATCCAGAAGAATATTGATAGGCTTGAATACTGGAGACCATCACCTGGTGGAGATGTTGTCTATTCCACATTTTTCTATCTTACCAAGAAGTAGGCTGTGGTCTACACTGTCAAATGCTTTACTGAAGTTCAAGTATACTATGTCCACAGCATTTTTCTAGTTCACTAATTTAGTCACTTTGTCAAAGAATGCAATATGATTTGTCTGGAATGATCTATTCTTGACAAACCCATGTTGGCTTCTAGTAATAGCTTTGCTATTTTCTATGTTTTCTTGGTATCTTTTGGGTGTTTCAGATGAATGCCTATATGGACACTAAGAAATATCTTTCTCATATAGCTGCTGAGCTAAGCAGAAGTGGGATCCTTAAGTTGATATGTTTGATGGCTTCTGGTTTGCCAGAATTTCAAACTACCAACTGAATCTCCTGCTAATCTAAAAACTTTTAAAATAGAAAACTTGTGAATTGAATGAATGCAAGATGAAAAGTAGGTAGTCCATCACCCAGTTCCAGTTCTGGCCTTTCCCATCTTTGAATTTCAGGAACTGAATAAAATCTTACCTGACCAAATTCAAGTTTGGGCATATTTGCAGGATGTCAAAATTGGTAACAAAAAACAAAAGGATTTTGTATAACCAAGGACATGTAAAAACTTGCAACTATATAAACTGCTAACCTTAGAAGTCAAAGGCA